AAGGGGGGGGAAGGAAGGAGAATGAGGGGGTGCAGATCAAGGTGCCTGCAGTGAGGGAGGGAGTGGGGCTAGGACAAGGGCAGACGTGGGCAGGGTGGGGCTCAGGATGGAACTGCGTGGCTCATCCAGGGGCTGTGAGGGGGACTTCCACTGCTATGTGCACCCCGAAAGGGAGCCACGGGGGGGGTGACCCCTGGATCTGTGCCACTGCTGTCTGCCCCAAGTGCAGCCCCAGCCCATCCCCCACACCCCTCCCACTGGTGGGAATAGCCTGGTGCCAGTCCTAGCCCCAACCCACAGAAGCTGCCTGCCCTTGCCCTGCACACAGATCTAGAGGGCACATGCCCCCACCTCCCCATTGCTTCCCAGGGATACACGTAGCTGCAGGATCTTCCCCCTTTCCCCCTGGACTCCCCAGATGAGCTGCTCATGGCTCTGTCCTGTGCCCCAGCCCCAATCCCTTGCTGCAGGGGGCCTCCATCTGCCTCTTCCCTCTCCGTGCCCCTTCTCCCACAACAGACTTACTAGCCAGACACTGCTCTCCAAGCTTCCAGGCTGGCCATGTGCATGCTTCAGCTGTGTGCATGCAAGCGGCACATATTGGCAACATTAACAGCCTCATCAGCCAAAAAAAGCTAATGGCCAATAATGTCAATTTTCCTTTTATCGGTGCTGCTACGATATGGACCGATGTATTGGTGCATCTCTAACTTTAAACACATGTGTAGTTGGTGACATCAGGATTGGTTTATTCTTGGTCAAATTGTACCAGAGTTTACTCAGTTAATGTAACTGCATGTGTAGATATGCCCACTATCTATTAGTTTTGGCTTAAATGACACAGGTGTATAGTAGATTTAATTGTTTGAACCTTGCTGACAAACCATGCAGTTGTCAGTGTGGTTCTGCTTAATAGATATTGTGTAGTTTTTAAAATGCCATTGGAAATTTAACATTCTTTTAACACATTTTTTCTGCAGTATTGTAAAGCAACTTCTCAAATGAGGAAAAGCCAGAATGCAGACTGTATATATCATAGTGCACAGATAATTTTTATGCTGCTCTGTGGGGTGGAGTCTAATCTTATTTAAAGTATGTGACAGGTAGTGCAGTAAGAATGAATCGGGGTCTGTAGCGAGTAAGGATGTTAGTGATCAATCCCATTTCTTATTTGTGGTGGATGCTGAAATGTATATTGTGAAAGAATGGCTTCATGGGGCACATCCAGATGAGCATGCATGTGTGTCTTGCAGCATCTCAAAGCCCTTTGAGATGCTGCAAGAGGCACATGCAGAAATGAGAAAATGTTCCCCGTGCTGCAAATTTGCAGCATAGGGGCAAGATTAGATCCCTGAATATGCAAGGGTTAAAAAAAATCCCAATGGAAAAAAGCGGGGCAGGGCACAGTCCCGGACTGTACACTAAGGTAATCAGAGGCTGGGTCCTCCACAGAGATGCTCTGGTAGCAGCCAGAGCATCTCTATGGCTGGCCCTCACCCTGGTGTTGAAGCACTCTGCCTGCCCATGCAGGGCAGGCAGTATGTCAGCTGCAAGGAGCAGGACTTGGGCTTCTGCTGGTAAGTAGGGGTGGGGGGGGCTGGAGAAGGTGAAGGGAACCATGGGGGAGACCCCTGTCAGCTCCCCCAGCCCCTGATCCCTGCCTCTCCTGGCCCCACCCTCTGCCTGCCCCACTCCCCCTTGCTGCCCCTCTGGACTCCATCATCCTGACAATTAAAATAAAACATGCCCCCCCACCCCACACTCACCAGCAGTAGCTGCTTGCATTGGGGTCACTGGGGCCTGCCCTGAAACAGTGCGGGGCCAGGTGACAGCCACAGCGGCCCCTGCCCAGTCCCCGTTGTCCCCCT